TGCTAAAGTGGTTCTCTCATCTTATTAATAGTTTAAATTTACTAGGTAATCCTATTTCCAATGCTATTGCTACTAACAAGGTTTTGCAACTTCTTACTAGGAATTGGCAACCAAAGGTCACCACGATCAAGGAACTCAATAATCTTGCAAAACTTGATCTCACCACCTTATTTGTAAAATTAGAAGAACACGAGCAAGAACTCAATTGCTTGGAGAAATATGAAAAGAAACTTGATAAAAAGAAGAAGAAAGGGAAAGACACTAATAAGGAGGAACGATTGAAGTCTAAAGCTCTCATAGCTTCAAGTTTAAATTCCTCAAGGGATGAGCACTATTATTATGATAAGGATGTTAATAATAACTATGATTTGGAAGATGAAGAGATGAGCATAGTTTTCAAAAAGTATCACAAGTATGTTAAAAGGATAAATTAAAAGAGTCTTAACAAAAGAAGCATTGAGCCTAAAGGAAAGGATGCATCTTCTAAGGAAGGAAAATTCAAAAAGAAAGACTCCAACCTTGACATAAAGAAAAAGAGGAATCAACTCAAGAGTCATGAGAAACCTAGGAAAGCCTATGTGGCTTGGGGAAGTGACATTTAATCCTCAAGTGATGAAGAATCTAATGATGATGATGATTTAGCAAATGTGTGTCTTTCAACTCACCTCAATGATAGAAGAAATAAGGGACATAAACCTTCTAAGTATGATGAAGTGTGCTTGTCAGGTCATTATTATGAAGATAAGGAGGAAGGAATGATAACATCTACTAGTGATAACATTTATCATTATATCAAAAAGGTAAAAATAACAAGGTAAATTCTTCTCAAAATAATTTTGTAAATGGAAAGTCTCATGTGGATTTACTTGACACCTTTGAAAATGTACATAAGGGAGCTATTGTAGATTTTAAAAGGTTGGCTTCAAATATAAAAATCTTCTCTCATTTAGAAGAAAAAATTTTAGAAACTGAAAATAAAATAGAATATCTTAAGAACTCTCTTGTTGGTATTCATAAGGTTAAAAACAAGATAGATGAAATCCATTTAACTTTGGTTGTGATACATGTTTCATTTGGAAAAATAAGTTCAAAACTCTTAAAACCAAATTGACAAAGGCTCAACAAACAAAGATTAATTTTGCTATAGATCCAACAAAGTTTAATAAATCTTGAAATCCTCCAATATGCTAAATACAACTTTGTTGAAAAGAAAGTGATAAGAAAAATTAACACCTTTCAAAATATAACTTGTTATTACTGTCGTATGAAGGAACATACCATTTCAAAACGAAAACTTAAGAAACTTTCAATATCTAATGGAATTTCTCAATAGTTACCTAATTGTGATAATCATGTCACTCACCTTCAAGGACCCAACAAAGGATTAGGTACCTAGTTTATTTTGTTGAAAGTTGCAGAAAAATTGTCTTGATTTTATGAAGAAGATATAGAGCTTCATGAGTAGGTACATCAAGACAATTAGAAGGTGACATATTCATATCTTATTGACTTAGTGGCAAAATGATTGGATGTGCTCTTGAAAAATATCAACAAGTAACTCCTTGATAAAAGATCTTGAATCAATGAGAAGGTGAAAGTAGTGAAACTTGATTTTACTTGTTCCTAGCACACTTAGAAATGGTTGATGCTCATGTTCTTGAGTTTCATGTGGGGTGCTTCTTCTTTTATCCCCAATATTTATGAGGTTGTATTATTTCATTTATCCTCCCATTTTCTCAATTTCACCAAGTGTCTTAGAACACTGGCTTTTACTAAGTCGTAAGCCATGTTGCATAGGAAGGAATCCTTTCTTAGAATTCACCATATTAAATATAGAAAGGAACTTATCTATATAAGTTCATTGAATTAGACCAATAAGCTTCTTAGACCTATCTCTATAGATCTTAATGCCTAATATGTACTTTGCTTCTCCTAGATCCTTCATCGAGAAATTCCTTTTAAGCCATTCCTTGACTACTTCCACCATAGGAATATCATTTCCAATGAGTAATATGTCATCCACATATAAAACTAGGAAGGCCACTTTGCTCCCACCAAACTTGTTGTAAATGCATGTCTTTTCATCGCATCTGATGAAATCAAATTTTTTTATCACTTCATCAAAACAAAGATTCCAACTCCTAGATGCCTACTTAAGTCCATATATAGAATTATTAAGCTTGCATACTTTCCCATGATTCTCAGGATCCTCAAGACCTTCTTGTTGCATCATGTATACATTTTCTTCTAAATATCCATTTAGAAAAGCGGTATTGGCATCCATTTGCCATATCTCATATTCATAATAAGCAGAAATTGCTAGCATTATTCTAATTAACCTAATCATAACGACCAGTGAGAATGTTTCATCATATTCAATACCATGAACTTGTCTAAATCCTTTGGTAACTAATTGTAGCGGTGAAAATCGGAGATCAAGCTATTAATTAACTTGACTCGCAAATAAGAAAGAGTCGCCACCACGCTTTATTATTTCCAAGGGAAAAGGGAAAATAGCGAAATAAAACCCTTAAATATGCAATGTAAAGTACTACTTAAAAGTAATGAAAATACAATACGTTTTTGAAAGAGATCGAAAGTTCAGGGGTTGGTTATACAATGGGAAGGTACCAACACCCAATGCATCTGCAGTACTCCACATGAACCTTTTGAAATATCTATCTTTGTTTAAAATTGTTTGTTTGGTTAAAATGAGTGTGAATGAGATTTTGAAGATACGACAGCCTAGTGTCAAAGTTTTGACTTGAAAGAGTGCAAGTTTAAGAATTGAATTTTTTTGAAGATGCAAGGACCTAATGTCGAGGTTTTGGTTTAAAGAGGTGTATGTTTGAAATTAGGTTTTTGAGGGATTTGCCTTTAGATTAATAAAATTAAAATGTATGAAAGGAGTTTCACATAATCATATTATTCGATGACGTGAAGTCAACGATTTCGATTCTTTTTTCCCTTGGAGTAAATGGACATCAAAATATAAGCATTCAAAAATTCACAAGAAAATAAATCTAACGAAACATATTAACGAACAAAAGGCACCTAGAAATTAAAATGACAGACATATTTAAATACAAATAAAAGAGAATGTAACTAATTATCTGAAGAAGTTATCTGAACTAAATAAAAAATTAAGATTACTTACTAAAATGATTCTAAACTAACTACAAATTCTGAGGTTATAAAAATAATTCTAAAATTACTAAATTAGATCTAAACTAAATTAAAATTTTAAAGTTATTAAATTAAATCTAAATAAAATGAAAATCCTAAAGTTATTAATTTAAGTCCTAATTTAATTTAAAGGTACTAATTTAAATCTAAATTAAATTAATTCTAAACTAAAGATTAAAATTCTAAGACTGAAATAAAGTTAACAAAATATATCTAAACTAATTAGAAGTTCTAGAGTTATAAAATAAATCTAAAGTAATTAAAATTTCTAAAATTACTAATTAAGTCTAAAACCAATCTAACTGATTAAAATTATCTAATTAACTAAAACATAGTTATTTGATTAAATCTAAAAAAATTAACTTAACTAGAAAGATTATTAATTTAAAATTAAACTAAATTATTTAATAAAAGAAGGTGTGAGACAAGAAACTAGGGGGTGAAGGTATAATTTTCGGATGGGCTAAGATGGTAAGCGGCAGACTCAATATTATGAAATGAGATTTAAAAAAAAAGCTTAAAAAATTAATGAATTAATTAATTGGGCCGGACCGGGTCAGAGGAGGTCTGGACCCAGTTTACCCTTGAGAGGCTAACGATTTCTCAACCCTAACGTAAGAAAACAGAATCGCGCCTCTCTCTCCTTTATCATCAGTTCTCAACCTCCATATCCTACTCCGTCATTTGTATGCTCCGACCACCCATAATCACGTCTCAAACACCTCCTCATCTAATCCTCCCTACCGGTTTCTTCTTCTACTTCCATTAAATCTAAACTTCAGTGTGAATCACATCGATGATCAACGTTCAAGTAACACAAGCTCTCGATGCAAATCTGCAACGATCTTGAAGGTGCAAAAGCGAAAACCAGAGAAGAGGTTCCTTCACTAATCACAGGTGTAAATTTGTCTGCTTTTCTTTTTGTACTTCTTCTTCTTTCTCTTCGTGTGTGCCTATGATGTTGTTGTTATTCAGTAAAGAATGATGTTGTAATTGCAGAAAATGCAAAGTATATGAAGGTGATGATTTTCATAGAGGTAGATAGGAATGATGGTTGATGGTTGAAGTGTATATGGTGAGGTTGCTGCAATTTTAGGAGTCTTGATTCAATGAGTATAGGGTGTTAGTGCAGAGGTTTGAGGTCTGTGAGGGTTTTGGAGACATTGAGCCGGAGTTTTTTGCGGTATTTATTCTGGTATGAGGTTTTGGTAAAGAGCTTATTGAGAGTTTTTTCTATGTTTTTCCTCGACTTATCTCTTTCTTCCCCCTATCTTAGTGGACTCGTGGTTAGCGGCTCTCGTAATAACAACAATAACTCACAGTTTAGGTTCTCTCAGTGACAACAACATACAACAACATGGGGGAGGAAATCGAAATTGAACGCAGGTATAAAAAATGAACAACAATTAAATAGCATGGCTTATAGCGAAAAAGACCTGGTATGTTCTTCTTCGGTCTATTTCTCTTTATAAGGTCCTTCTGCTTCATCTTTGTTATGTTGCTTGCGATTCCTTCTAAAATTTCTTCTTCTTCAACTTCTCACATGTATAGTGTTGTTGATGTAGATGTATTGTTGTTGCTACTGCAGTTGTGAAAATGTTGTTGTTGAAGCTGAGGAAGTTGCTGCTGTTGTTGCATTTGTTGCTGCTGCTGACTGGATAATTGTGGCTTAAATACAACCATATCCTTTGAGTTTGGCGATAAATACTAGTTGTCTTTGCCTTTTTCCTGATAAGCTTCCCTCCTGGACCCCTATATATTTGGATTATGCAGAAGTTGTCTGTTGTGACAAAGGCATATTAGTGGTAGCAGCATTATTTGGAGGAAAATAGACAGAGGTTTATATTTTGTGTGAGTTTTTTTTTGTCTTCGTATCTGATTTCCTTGCCGATATTGTTCTGTTTGGAATTTTCTTTCTCAATATCAATCACTTCCTACTGTTTTTTTGTAATTTTCTGTGTGAAAAAGATCCCCTGATATCTGCAACTCTCCTATGGTTTCTTTGTGTTTCTGTCTCTTCTTCATAGCTAGTCCCTCATAGAATTGGAGGGAGATTTTGATAAGCTTGACCAATTTTGGTGATCTGTTTTATTGCCTTTCTGATACAGATTTTGTAATGCTATTTGGATGTGCCTTTTGGACTGTTTTAACAAGAGTTTTTGGCATTATTATGCAGTTCTTTGGCAGCATTGCAGTAGTAGCTACAACTTTTTCAGATTGGTTGGTGCATGGATGCACTACTTTGGAGGTTTGCAACAGCAACATCACTTTGTTTGGAATTGGGACAATTTGGGTGTAAAGAGAGTATGAGCAAATGACATGAACACTTGTACCAAGATTGGAATAAAACTTAAGATTTCTTTTGTAATTCTTTAAATCTCTTTTATCAATATACAAATGAATTTGATTTTGGAACTTGAATGATGTAGTGAAATTGTAATTTAATGAACTTGATGGAAATCGCAATGAATCTTTTCTTCTTTTTTTTTTTTTTGGAAATTTTCCTTTGGATGTCACATATGCATGAAACTTAGAACGAAACTTGAGACTTGAATAAGTCATGAATGATGATGGTTGAATCTTTGAATGAATTTGAAGTCTTTTGAATGATTCTTGAATACGACTCACTTTTGATAAAAAATGTTGTTAACTTTGAATCATGAGTTAAAATATTTATCTTTTGTGTGTTTGTATGAATCTTGAATGATATTAGAATGGAGTCTTAATCCATTCTTGAATACACTTGAAATAACGCACCCAAATTGAACCTTGCATTTGGATGAATGGGTTATGGCACATGCCTTGCAATCTCAAATCAATTATGATACATGTCTCAAATTTATCCCCATGAATGAAGTTTCGAATTTAAAATGGACAATTGAATCATGGCTAAAAAGGATGAGTATCTTTTAAACCTTGAATTAAATTGAATTTAATGGCATCTCGCGAGTGAATCTCCAAATCATTTCCAATTGGACCCTATTCCAAATCTTCGATTCATGGTTATTTGCAATACAAGCCAATAGTATTTAATTGATCAAATGGCACTTTAAGAACTTTGGTTAAAGATTCCACTTTAATCCAATAATCACCAATGCTCAAACACAAGCGACAACCAATCACAAAATCCCCGAACAATCTCAACATAAGAATCAAAATCTTGAGAAAACGATCACGAGCATGAATTGAAATTAGAAGTTAGGAACATTCTAAGTCAAAAAATGACCTACGACGATTCAATAGTTTTCAAGATCTTTCATTCACAATTAAATTTCGATCTTTGAAGAGAACTTGTAGACGACATCACTCATGATAATGTGCAAAACGATTCGCCTCAAACTGTCAAGAATCGAAGAAGTTATGATCCTTGGAAGTTGGGCACAACTATTTTGAGATTAGGTCAAATTCCACATAATGACTTCTAAAGTATTCTAACTTTTGATGATCCTTCGCACATAATCAGATCTTGACTGGTAAAGAGGATTTGGAGATGATGATGACATCAAGGAGAATCATTCGCTTGAAGAATCACTCAAAAAGGTTGAATATCGAAGAATTTATAACTTCCGAACTTTATCATGAAAATGTTGACTTCTTGGTCGAAGTGCTTTGAATCTTCTCATATAGCCTGATCTTTTCTTGTGCTCCAAGGCATGTTAATGCACATGTGAACCAGTGACGATGAAATCTTGTATGTGCTTTGAGGAAGTTTTGGAGAAGCTTGAGACCACTTGTCGAACAAGGCATGGAAATAATCACACGATCCTCTGAAGTTCCAAAAGAAATCTTCGATCAAAATGAGATTGAACGATGCTTAAGACTCTATGCTCTGAGATTAGAGGTTGTGCCTTGATGAATCAGTCTTGGAAAATCCATAATCAATCGCACTTATAGATTGGGAGACTCAAAACCCTAATTGAGGCGCGACACCTGATGCTCTTGATTCAGACCTGTCTCTGCACATGAAACAAAATAAGAACACGAACATACACCTTTGTATGCGATTAGAAGTTAGTGACACATAGGCTAAAATGTTCAAAACACTTGACAATATCTACATATGTAATGCTCGAAGGTGAGAGGTTAAAACCGACCGTATTTCATGACCTTGACTTTTATAAAAATGCAAAAATGAAAATGGGATCTTAGGTCAAAAATTGGGGTATGACACTAATCTTGCCTTATAAAAAGAAAAATTTCCATCCTTGTCTGTTTTGATCTTAAAAACCCATTTGCTTCCAATGGGTTTTACCCCATCAGGAAGATATATCAAGTCACATACTTAATTCTCATACATTGAGTCCTTTTCAGAGGATTTAAGCCATTTTTCAGAGTCAGGGTCCACCATTGCTTGTTTATAGGTAGCAGGCTCATCATTCTCTAAAAGTAGAACGTCAATGTTAGTGTTCAAGACAAAAACCTCATATTGTCTAGGTTGTTGCCTTTGCCTATTTGATATCCAAAGTGGTCCAATAGTTGGAGAGACTTCAGTAGGAGGATTGGCCACATCAGTATGTGGGACCTCTGGTGCTTCATCCACATAAGGAATCACATCTTGAATAGGGGTGATTTCCCTTTGAGAAGGTATTCCTTGATAATCTAGTTCCTTTATGACATCTTCTATGTTCTCATGTTGTAGGGTTTGTTGCTTGTGCTGAATCTCATCAAGCTGAATATTTCTCTCTCTTGACTTAGAAAAAAATATTTTTCCAAAAAAACACTATCCCGAGCAACAAACATTTTGTTCTCAATAGGATTGTAGAAATAATAACCCCTCTTTTCCTTAGGGTAACCTATAAAGAAGCATTTGTATGATTTAGGTGCGAGCTTATTAGATAGTAAACGCTTTACATAAGCCTCGCATCCCCAGACCTTCAGAAATGGCAAGCTGGGAGGCTTCCCAAACCATATCTCATGTGGTGTCTTGTTAACTGATCGGGACGGAGTCCTGCTTAGCGTGAACACGGCGATGGTGAGTGCATAAGCCCAAAATGATGTAGGAAGATCAGAAAAACTCATCATTGAGCGAACCATGTCTAACAATGTCTTGTTTCTTCTCTCAGATACACTACTCAGTTGTGGTGTCCTTGATGGAGTCAGTTGTGTAAGAATACCACAACTTCTTAAATGATGGTTGAATTCTTGGCTCATATATTCACCCCATCGATCTAATCGAAGAGCCTTTATCTTCTTGCATGTTTGTGTCTTCAACCTCATGTTGAAATTCTTTGAATTTTTCAAAAGACTCAGATTTATGTTTCATTAAGTAGATATACCCATCTACTAAAATCATCAATAAATGTAATTAAGTATTGATAACCTCTCCTAGCTTATGTGCTCATAGGTCTACACACACCAATATGTATGAGAGATAATAACTCAGTAGTCCTCTCACTTGTACCGGTGAAAGGTGACATTGTCATCTTGCCTATTAGACATGATGAACATGTTGCAAATGATTCATAATGAAATGACTTTAGATGACCAACATTTTAGAGTTTCCTCGTGTGTTTGATGCTAATATGGCCTAAGCGACAATGCCTTAGATGGGCTTCACGTATATCATTTTTCTTCTACATAAATTTGAATAAAATCTCTTTCACAAATTTAAATTACAAAAAAATAATAACGATGTATTTAAATTACAAAAAAAATAATAACAATAAGCAGATCTTGTACAAAAAAAAATAATGATGCACATATCATATTTATCTATCTTAAATTGGACCATACTAGTCATTACATGCAATAATATCACAATATTAAACATACACGCAATAACAATATTATTTAAGCAAATAATAATAAAATAATCATAAATAATTAATCAATATTAAATATTTAAAAGTAATTTATATAATTAAAAAGCTTAAATAATTAGTCATATTATTATTATTTTTTAAATTAGAAACAGTTTCTCATTATTTTAATTCAATAAGACTGAATGAAATTAATATCTAATATTAATTAATAATTTGTCAAGAAATATAATCAAATATTCTTAAATAATATTTAATTATGTTAATTCAAAATTAATCAAATAAAATAGCTGTAGATTTTATAGAATAATTAAATCTTTATTTATTAAATAAAATATCAAATATTTCATATAATAAATTGTATTTATTCTTTATTAATGTGAATAATCATTTGCATTATTGTCATTAAATCAATATAATTGTATTAACTATAGGTCAATCAAATTATAAAATTTTGAATTAATTAATATCAACTCTTGATATGAGAGAGATCAAAAGCAAATACAATAATAGTTATATAATAAATAGTTTTATACGTATAAAAATCATTTAATAAACATTAATGATTATACAATAAACAATATTACTATAATATATAATATATGTATAATCATGCATATTTGAATAGATGATATTCTCAATTGTTTGATCACAGTGTACCATCATATGGTTGCCAATGGTAATCGTATATCATATATGTTTAACTTGGCAAATAATTTTTAATCTAACAATTTTAATTTAATATGATAAATTACTTCAAATTAATAAAAATATCATATATATGCTTATTGAATCTAAATAATGTGAGCATACATCAAATTATAAAATTTAAATTTATACAATTAATTTATGTAAAATAGACTCTGATATCACTCTAAACAGAATTGTAGGAAATATTTTTCTAACATCTAAATAAATAAAGATCGATTGCACAAATCAATTGAATTAGAAATAGTATTAAGATGATTACCTTTTGATGTATGTTCAAAATCTTTTTTCTGAAGAGATTAAGAACCGACTTGAAACTCCTCTAATTGATTCACTCCAGCAAAGATTTAGATTCTTTATCTCAACTGCTAGATTGAAGGTTTTGAAAAAAATAAATTAAAACGTTAGAAAAACTAGAATAAGTTTTATGTTTTTTAAAGAAAATTCAATCTTATTTATAATTCATTAATTAAAATTATATTTAATGCTATAATTAAATATAACAGTAACGTATATTTTCTCATTAAATAAACTCTTAATTATAATCTAATAATTTTAAAAAATTTCAAATAATTTATTTTTCAATTATTAATAACTTCTTATTATTAATAATTTTCCTAATATATTCTGTTTATAAACTCTTACGGTGTGACGTCGTAGAACTTAATTATAATAATAATAAAATTTATAACATAAAATTTATAAATTATAATTCACCTCTAACAAGACACAAGACACTGTGATTGCCTAAAATAACTAGATCGTAAATCTTTATCAATAATTGCATGTTAGAGTTAAATTTATAGAACATAATTTATTTTAGAAAAAATTCATAAGAAATTTTACATGTGTTTTAGAATGAAAGATAAAAAATCTTTATATAATTTTAGAAAGAGAAATGTTACGGAGACACCATTTTAGGTGTCCAATAACATTTTTTTTTATGGTATAGATATTCTCTCAATTTTTAATTAATTTTTTCTCTCTCTTCATGTTAAGTCAATAATTATAGAAAATGTATTTTTGTACGATGTTAGTATACTGTATCAGCTTTTAGATGTTCAAACAATTAACACTTTTTTTTAGAAATTAATC